AACAGATGAACTCGATCCAAGAGTGCTGAAGAAATTAGCTGAAGTCATTGCAGGACTGCTGGTGAACCTCTGAGAACTTGTGGTATTCAAGAGAGGTCCCAGAAGACTGGAGGAGGGCCAACGTTGTGCCCATCTTCAAGAAGGGGAGGAGAGAGGACCCAGGGAACTACAGGCCAAATCAGCCTGACCTCAATCCTAGGAAAAAATCCATGAAAACTCTCTCAAGGAGTCCATAGACAATAAGCAAGCTAGTAGAAGGCAAAACTCTGAATGATCCAGCATGGTTTTGTTGCAGGCAGGTCATGTCTAACTAACCCCATCTCCTTCTATGACCAGATTACTTATCACCTAGATAAGGGAGATGAGGTTGATGTCATTTACTTGGACTCTGACTTGGTATCCCACGAGGCTCAAGGTAAAACTAGGGAACTATGGGCTCAAACAATTCAACAGTCAGATGGGTGTGAAACTGGTTGCAAGGTCAGACCCAGAGAGTACTAATAGACTGATCTGTGTTTGCCTGGTGGAAGGTAGCCAGTGGGGTCCCCCAGGGTTTGGTACTTGGACCACCGCTTTTCAACAATTTCATCAATGATCTGGATGTGGGGCGGAAAAGCACACTGGCAAAGTTGGCCGATGACACTAAGCTGTGGGGAAGCGCGGCCACACCTCAGGGTAGGCTGATGATCCAGGCAGACCTAGACATATTAGATGGGCAAACCAGAACCAGATGCTGTTCAACACTGAGAAGTGTAAAGTGCTCCATCTGGGAAAAAAATACGCAACAAACTTACAGGCTTGGGGGCACCACGTCTGAAAGACACCTGAGGGTCATAACTGACCATAAAATGAATGTGAGCCACCAGTGTGATGTTACAATTAGCAGCGCAAACAATACGCTGGCATGCATCAACCAATGCATCTCAAGCAAAACTAAGGAAGTTATTCTCCTGCTCTACTCAGCATTTGTGAGGCCTCAGCTGGAGTACTGCGTGCAGTTCTGGGCGCCACACTTCAAGAAGGATGTGGAGAAGCTTGCGCGAGTCCAGAGAAGAGCCACTCATATGTTTAGAAGCCTGAAGAGCAAGCCATACAAGGAAAGGCAGACAGATATATGGGACTGTTCAGCTTAGAAAAGAGAAGACTTTGAGGGGGCTTTGGTGGCAGCTTACAAATGTATCAGTGGACAGCATCGGGGCAGGCGAACAACTATTCACCAAAGTGCCCCAGGGGAAAACCAGGAGCAACAGTCGAACTCTTAAAAGGTGGTTTCACACTTGATAAAAGGAAAAACTTCTTTACGGTTCAGTGACCAGACTCTGGAATAGACTCCCAGCAGGGGTGGTGCAGGCACCTACCCTGGAGATCTTCAAAAGGAGACTGGATGCATACCTTGGCTAGGGTTATTTGACCCCAGCAGTATTTCCTGTCTAGAGCAGCGGGGCTGGACCCAATGATTTCATGAGGTCCTTTCCAGCCCTAAACTTCTGTGAATAAAACACCGTATCTTAAATAACTTAATTTAAAATAGTCCAGCACTAAATTACATTTATCTTAATGGCATACAGGCTTAACATAACCCTGTTAGGCTAGTTATATAAAGCTCTAAACAGTCATGATTTGAGTACCATATATAGTAGAACAATTAAAGATAACATTAAACTAGTCCAGAGCCAATTACTATATCTGTCAAAATTTCATTATTTTGTCAATAAAGGTACTCTGAAAACTATCTTTCTTTTCCAGTAGAAAAGAAGACAATCGTTTCATTTTTTAAATATACAAAACATTTGAGGGATGTTTAACTGTGAAGAAACTATATTCTGTTATCTTGGTGAAGTTAGTGGTACATAACAGAAAAAGCCTGAGATTTTTTTGTTTGTTTTTTGGCAACGTTGGCAGCGTTCTTTTCCAACTTATCGCCATAATGTATTATTTGTCCTCTAAAACAGGGACGTTTTGCAGTGGGGGCCACTTTTAACTCCTAACGTGGGTTCCCTTCCAACTCAACCCGTGCTACAGCTGCTGGAAACAGTAACAGTCATGGCCACCCCTTCACTGCTGATGCCATTTCCCCAAGTAATCACATCCCCCCAGCTACCAGAACACTGCAGAAAGCCCAGAGCTCCAGGGGACGGACAAGATGGCTCTGCAGGCCAGATCCAGATGGC